GTGTTCTTGGAAAATGACATGCTTGGTACAGTAGAAGGGCAACGAGAAAGGAAACCAGCCAAGATATGGAGGGACCCGGTGGCTGCAACAGCAGGCTCACATATGACAACCGTGAGGCTGGTGCAGGACCAGGCAGTGTTTCGTCTTGTCATACGTAGAGATATCATGTCAGAACCAACGTGATCCCACCTAACAAGTTTGCCGCACCAGACCTCTCTAGCATATGGAAGAGCAAGGACGTTACTTTGAGGACTGAGGTATGCCTGACCCAAGCCGTGGTCTTCTCCATTTCGTCATATGCTTGTGAAAGTTGGACATTGAATAAGGAAGGCTGTACAAGAATCGCGGCATTTGAATAGTGCTGTTGGAGAAGAACATGGACAGTACCATGGACTGCTGAAATGTAAACAAATCTGTATTGGACAAAGTCAGGCCACCGTGCTTCCTAGAGGCAAGGATGGCAAGACTTCCTCTTACATGCTTTGGACGTGCTGTCAGGAGAGGCCAGTCCCTGGATGGTCCATCCGGTGAGGTCCATTAGACAATCACAAATTGTGCTGCTGAAAAAAGGCGTTTTCTGTGAAGGAGCCATTGGTATTGCACATATCTACCGTGTGGTCTGCAGTGTGGTTTTCACTGCCACGGCCATGTTTTCTTGCCACTGGATTGTTCTCCATTCCGAACTTTCAGATTCCCATCGCCAGGCGTGGCTCATGCCCCTGGATCGCATGTCCGCGCAATTTCAGACTGTGGAATTTGGTAAAAGCTCTCAATTTTGTCAACCTTTGCATGATTGGTTGGTGTGTGAATCTGAATAATAGTCGTAGTGACTCATCTTTTTTGGTGGGCATATGGATATGACAGACTCACCGGCAGTGATGTCCTTCAAGACAGATTTGTCAAGTTCCTGTTAATGATGAACATGGTAACCATTCTTCAGCCATCTGTTGTTCCCAGCAGAGTAGCTCACTACCATCAGGTCCAAGCTGACTCAATGACAGGGCAGGGCAGGGCGGAACGGCCCCTGTGAGTTTCTGAGACTGTGACTCTTTAACAAGAGTAGAAAGCCCTACCTTTCTCCTGGGGCGCAGCTGGTGGTTTCAAACTGCTGACCTTGCGGTTAGCAACCCAAAGTGTAACCACTATGCCACCAGGGCTCCCCCAGCATAGTAGACCGTGTGCTTAGTCAATTCATAACAGCAGTCCGTTTCATGTCAATCACGCTTAGGATCTCGATCTCTCATTCATTTGTTTTAAATTTTAATAAAGCATTTTATTGGGGCTCTTACAACAACCCATGCATCAATTTTATCAAGCACATTTGGACATACGTTGCCACCATCACTTCATGGTTGATGGCTTCTAATTTCCCTAAGTCCCTATTTCGTACATTCCACATTCCGATTATGAATACATGTTCGCCGCTGTTTCTTCTCATTGTGAGGCGTGCCACATCGACAGATGAATGTCTTGAAAGCTTTGCTCCACCCATGCCTGCGTGTTGATGGGGCGGCTCTTCCTCAGTGGTACTCGGAGTTCCCTCCAAGCTGAGGGGCTCTGTAGTGCCCGGAGGCACCCCACTCCTTCAGTAAACCTAGCCCCAAATCACCCATCTCTCCCCCCCCACCCCCATTCCATGGGTCACAAAGGTCACCCCACCATCTCCTGCTTCTTTCACTGCTTCTTGCCATCTCTCTCAGCCTCGTTTTTAAAATTAAAAAAAAAAACATTTTATTGGGCGTTTGTATAACTCTTATCACAATCCATACATACACCCATTGTTGTCTGTCCCCTGGGAGGGGCTTATAGGTCGTTTCACAACTCTCCGTCTCATGGGTATGAGGGGTTCCCAGCGCAGGGGCCTTGACTCCCCTCCCCTCTCTTCGTGGTGCAGTCCCCTCTCCCCTTCCAGCTCTGGGGTGGCTCACTTTAAATCTACTGGGATGCCAACACTGACAAGGATGCCCTCATTCATGGTGCATACACCCTATTTGCTTGGTCCCACCCCCAAGGGTGCCATGCGTAACCTCAGAAACCCTGTGAGTGTTGCTGTGCCTCAGGACATTATGATGGCAGTGGGCTTTCCACCCGCTCTGTTCCCAGGTGTCCCAGGTGTCTAAAGCAGCCCAGATGGCCATCCCGAGCCCACGGATCCTCCAGCTAGCTGAGCCCAGGTCCCCAGCCACCCTGTTGGAAGAATGGGACCCCATGCCGAAAAGCAAGCCGCACACATCCGACTACAACCGGCTCCTTCACTTGGCCAGTGAGTCCAGCTCAGGTTTGGCTTGTCTGGCAGGTGCATTGGGCAGACCCGGGACTGGGCAGAGGGCAGAAGACTTGATTTGGAGCCTGTCTTGCCAGCTATTTGCCCTACTCCTCCTCTCCCTGAATGACAGGCCACTTGCGGGTTGGGCTGCGACCCACAAGGGCAGCAGTTCGAAACCACCACCTGTTCCGCAGGAGAAAGACAAGGCTTTCCAATCCTATAAAGAGTTTACAGCCCCAGAAACCCAGAGGGGCAGTTCTACCCTGTCCTGCTGAGTCTCTGTGAGTCAGCATCGAGTAGATGGCAGGGGTTTTTTCGAAGTTTGTCCAAATCCCCTGTACAATTTGCACTTCGGCCTGTGAGCTCCTTGGGACACGAGCAGGGGAGTTCCCCTCCACTCAGTGCCCAGGAAGCAGTGATTGGAGGAGGTGGTGGTCCTGAAGGTGAGGGTCTTGTCATCTGTCGTCTTGAGTCAGTCCCCTGGCAGTATGGGTGGGTGCAGGAGTGGGGAGGTTCGAGTGTGGAGAACCAAACGGAGGTGCGGCGGCGCTGACTTTGAAGTGGTTCCTAGAGAGCTCTCTTCTTGGCCTGAAAACACTTCCCATCTCCACCCTGCCCAGACGACACCATCGAGTCGGTCTGAGTCAGCTGCAACGCTGGGCACTACGGTGTCCTCCCGGTCGTCCTCTGTCTGGGCCTATGGCCGCGGCCGCGGTGTCAGTCCATCTTGTCAATCCCAGCAAGGGCCTGCCTCTTTTTGCGCTGCCCCAAGCACGTGGCCTTCGCCGGGGACTGCTCGCTCGTGGCAACACGTCCAAAGTGGGTGGGACGCCGTCTCACCGTCCTGGCTTCCACGAAGCGCTCTGGCCGCGCTTCTTCCAGGACCGGCTTGGCTTTGCTCTTTCTGACAGCCTACGGCGTGGGCACCACGATGCAAGCGCACCCCCTCTCCCCGCTCGCCCGCATTCGAGGCCCAACTTTCACGTGCGCAAACGCTCACGCGCCGGCAGGTGCCCACTGGAGAGAATGTAGAACGCAGCCCCACCCTCCCCCCAAAGAAAAAGACAGAAGAAAATAAAAACCACTTCTAAGCCCACCCCTTCGGCAACCTGCACCGCCCCACTCCCAGCCCCGTGTGTGTGTGTGTGTGTGTGTGCGTACACATGCGTGTGGTGACGTGGTGTGGCAAGCTCCCCCCCACCCCAGGTGTGCGCGCACGTACACTTGCACGTAGTGACGTGGTGTGGCAAGCTCCCCGCCCCCTGGGTGTGCACACGTACACCTGCGCTTGGCGATGTGGTCCCTGAACGTGATTTCTGCTCATGGCACAGCGTCTATCCGTTGTCCTTTGATGGGTGGGCCGTTTGAACTTGTGACCTTTGACCTGGAAGGTTGCTCTCAGGTGGGCCGAGGCTTCTCTGAGACTAAGGAACCAGCACGCCGCTCCCTGACAACGTCCCTCTCTCCTTCCTGCCCCCCGCAGTGCCCAAGGTGGTTTCGGAAAAGTGCATCCCGGACCGAGACCCTCGCTGGGAGGTGCAGGACATCACCAAGAAGGCGGTGGCCAGTCCGCGGACCCTCACCTTGGCCCAACCCAAGGTGCGCAAGGACTTCAACGAGGGCTACGACCCCTACCACATTTCCCCGGCGTCTCTGAAGGCACGGGCGTCTCCTCGGATCTCCGAGCTGGCCACCCCCAAGAGCATCACTAGAAAATTGTGATCTTGGCTCTAGTAAACACCCAAGTGCATCTCAACCCTGTGTGTGTGTTCAGCCCCGGGCACTTGGTGGCAGGCAGCACGGGGATCCGGAAGCCCAAAGATGATGAGATGACAACAATAATACTGTTTCTTGGCATCCAACCTGAGAGTTTCACAGCCCTTTTATTTCCAGAACGACCTTCGCCCCCGTTCTTTGTTTTCCCCTTCAGCTCTCTGACACCCAGACTGGCTTCTCCTCTCCAGCCTTCTCCCCCCTCTCCCCCCTCCCCCGGTGCCCCCCAAGCACCTCAAACCCAGCAAAACGCGGAATAAACCCTGCGGACGACCGCTGAGTGACTACACTGGCGTTTACAGAGACCAGGTGGCGGATCCACCAGGACCGTCCGAATCTCAGACGCCGAGGCCAAGTCTCGGAGAGGTTAGGAAGCCGCTCGGTGCCTGGGGCCGCTGTCACAAGCCACCACAAATTCAGTCACTACTGATTACACGCTCGTTGGAAGAAGTACAGCCAGACTGCACCTTGGAGGCAAGGATGGAGAGACCCTGTCTCTCACTGGGCACACGTTGTCAGGAGGGAGCAGTCCCTGGCGAAGGACACCGTGGCAGGTAACGGAGAAGGGCAGCAAAGACCAGGAAGACCCTCCCGGAGAGGACGGATTCAGAGGCTGCAGCAGTGGACTGGGCACAGGGACAATTGGGAGGGTGGTGCATGAGCGGGCTGTTTAGTTCTGCTGTGCACGGGGTCGCTGTGGGTCGGAGCCGACTGGCTGGCCCCCAGCAACAACATGCTAACACAGGGCTCACAGCACAGAGCCAGGCTCCTGGACCACGGTGAGGTGTGGACAGGGTGGACTCCTGCCACTGGCGGCGGCTCCTTGAGGCAATCTGCTCTAGTATCCATCACATTTTTCTGCATTTTCCACATTTTTTCTGCTTCTAGGATCCATCCCCCTCCCTGGCTTGCAGCCCCTTGCTCCATCTTCCTGTGCCCCCCTCTGACCTCTGCTTCTGTCCCTGTATGTAAATGAGATCACACAGTGGGCCCTAACACACGAGCAGCAAGGTGTACTGGGATGCCCAGGACCAGGCAGTGTGCCCTCCTGTGAGTTGGAACAACAACAACAACAACAACAACGCACAACAGGTGTCACTGTGTGTCTGGATTCCATCCCTGGGAAGCTTGTTTTCAAGGCTGCTCCTGCAGACCCTGCCCAGGGCCTCTCACCATCCCTCTGCAGGGCTGGACCCCATCGTGTTGGGCAGCTCCCCATGAACGCCCCTGCTGGTTTTTGACGTCACCGCGTCCTGCACCCTCACTAGGTACTCCTCCAGGCACGTTCCCATTCCTGGAAACCCAACTGGAGAAGATGCTACCAGCCCCAATACTCATCCAGGTAAAAACCAAACCGGAGCCAAGGCTCTGGAGATGCTTCCACCGGCCCTGAATCCACAAGACCTTCCACCCACCAGCCTGTGGTCCTCCTGCATTCGACACCATTGCATGTGCTGCGTGAGTCTGAAGAGGCATTTACACCCTAGCAGGGACATAGGGGATACTATCGAACTTACGGACTTGATCTGGACTGGGCGGGGCTGCGTTCTTAATAGACACTCACTCTTTGATATAAAGCTCTTTCCTATACAAAACAACAACAGCCAAACTCCCAGCCATTGAGTGGATGCCGACTCAGAGCGGCCCCACAGGACGGGGCTCGCTGCCTGTGTGGGTGTCTGAGACTGATGCTGGGAGAGCTGGGAGCCCCTCCTCTCTCCTGCAGATGAGCTGGTGCATTCCCACGACTGACCTTGCTGGCAGCAGCCCAACGTGAACCCCCAACTCCTTCCTCAGGAGGACCTCCGTGGCTCCTTCCTCATCTGGGTGCTCGGCCTAAAACCTGCCTCCACCCCTTCAGCCCTCACCCCCGAAGCCTGGATGCCCTGCCTCCTCTCCCTCACCCCCCACGTCTGGTCCCTCAGCTGCACCATCGTCATAGCACCCTCTCTGTCACCACCCTCTGATGACAACCCAAGCTGCCGTCCTCTCCCCTTTGCTGTTAGCGGCCGTCCAGTCTCATGGTGGCCCCGTGCACGGTGGAAGGAAACGTGCATGTGATGCTCGCTTAGACCTCGATATACCAAGCAAACATCCCAGCCCAGGGCAGGTCAAGTCCATCTGTCTGCTACTAGTCCATAAGTCCCTCTTCTGACTCGCGCAGCCACTGCTGTGGTGCAGAATGCAGGGAGATCACAGGTCACGTGGATCCAATGGTGGTGGACGTATCGCCAGGCGTCTGCAGGTCTCAGAGTGACTCGCCTGCAGGGAAGTGAAGGGAGGGAGAGGGGAGGGGCCGGCCCCCAGAGAGCCATTGATCTCTGCTGCACCTCCAAAGGAGGGCATCAAGCCAGGGCCCCACGGGCAGGCTAAGCTCCACCCATATCGCCTTAGAGGTGTCATGTTCCCACAAAAAGCCCAACTGTCACCCCAAGCGCAATGTCTTTCTCCAGGGACTGGTCTCTCCTGACATAGGTCTGGGTCGTTGGGTGATTTCATGTCAACTTGAAGACTTGTAAAAGTGCGGGGGTGGAATCCAACCTGTCCATCAGGTCACAGCCTGATGATACCTCCTGAGGGGTGTGGACTTCTTACAATTGGGGAACCTGGACCCCTTCCTCTCTCTCTGCCCCTTTTCCTTCCTGCCTGCTAAGACTCTGCCCTGACCCCGAGAGCCATGGGACTCTGCCCCCACCAGTCTGCGATCTTCCTGCATTCTGGCTTGTGGCTCTGTGAGTCTGGAGAAGAACTGGGGGTCTAGCATTGGGCTCGTGGACTTGAGCTGGATGAGGCTGGCATGCTTTCCTGATGATAATGACTCCGTGATAGAAAGCTCTCTCTCATGCATAGACGGGTGCCACTGGATTTGTCTAGACAACCTGGCCTAACCCAACATGCAAAGGGCCCCCCATCCTTGCTTCTAAGGAACACTCTGGCCCATACTTCCTCCACACCTGACAAATCTGCCAGCCTGGCAGACACGTGCCGAGGACATCAACGAAACGGGGGCGCCAGGTGTCCCAGGCAAAGACCCATAGGACACAAGTAAAAGTGAGCTCGTCGCAATGGAAGGGGACTGGCATGCCTTAACTTTTGTATGGGGTACAGTTACATTTCGCTTTTCATGTCCAACGGACATGGAACGTCACGTTCGGCTCTCTCGGTGGCACCAGCAAGCACACCAGTGGCCCCATGGCCACGTGACTCGTGGCGCATCTGGTCCTGAGCGCCACGTTGCGTCTTCAGGTCGAGCACGCCCTTGTATGGACAACACGCTCTGAGCCTGCTGGGTGTCGGTGGGGGTCCAGTGCACCGTGGAGACCGAGGACGGAAAGCCAAAGTCCTAGTTCAAGACGGGAAAAACAGGCCCGGAGATGGATGCACATGAATCGGTAGGGCAAACACGTGTAGCTACTTCCAGCCACCCCATAATTCCTGTTTTCTCTGGTCAACCTGAAGACCCAAACCACATGCTCCAAGACCTTTTTAAAACTTTTTTTAAACTTACTGCTTTTCAGACGTAAATGTTTGTGTCGGTGTCTACACCGGAATGCAAACCACCTTTTAGTAATTTTCCCTTGCTGCTTTATTTCCAGTTACCCACATTTCTGTGCCGTGGCGGAAGCAGACTTGACGAGTGACTGGTTTCCGTCCAGGTCAAGGCAGCGGGATGCGGATGCGGATGCGGATGCGGATGCGGATGCGGCTGTGTCTCTGGCACCGAAAAGGACTAACTCCAGAGACGCGTCACGAGGCTGAATCCCCATGTTTTTCAGCAAAGGGATCACACTTACCATCAGTCTCTGTTCTAACTTAACGTTTGGCATCCACAGTCACACATCAGGCAATACATCCGAGGTGGCTTACGTGGCCGGTGAGCAGCTCAGAGTGGCCTGGTGTCCCCTCGGCTCGGCAGTGAAGAAGCTCGGAAGCTCTTCTGACACCGGGAGGGTTTCCATCCCTTGACGTGAGCAACTTTGCTGAGTCTCGACACGTCCTGTCCGTGGCCCTGTCTGGTAGTTCCATGCATCGCGGGTTTGTTTCCTCGTACGAACAACACGACTTGCGTTCCTCACCTTGCTCTTGCTTTTTCACTTCAAAACAAAGTTAAAAACAAAACAAAACAGGAGTTTGTCCTGTTCCCGCCGGGAAGTTCACGGAAGACACCAGGGACATTTGAATCCCGACAGGCAGTTCCAAAGTGACCCTTCTTGTGAAGCACAAGGCCTCAGGGGAGACGTCTTCGATGACTGCGAGCACCCGGTAGTTCTAGTGTCGCTAGTGCCAACAGCACACGATTTGTGTTGCTCACAACGACACAGATATAACCCGCTGAATTCATCCCAGAGTCTGCATCTGTTTCTCGTGGCCGTAACCATCATCATCATCATCATCATCATCATCATCATCATCATCATCATCATCATCAACCTGGTGTAGAAAGTAGGACGATTTTAAAATCTGCAATGGTCACATCTGCAGACCCCGTAACTAATAGAAAGACAGACTTCTACGCTGCATCTTTCTACCGAAGATGCAAATGGCTGGATCAAAAGAGGACCGAACGGGACAAAAAGGGCAAAGCGGGGCGGCTTCCCACACACTACCTGATCTCAGAAGCACCTGCACAGCCAAAACAGCCTGGTCTGGGGACGGTGACAGGCACAGAGGCACCACGGGGAGCAGAGCGGAAGCAAGAGCCCATAAGCAAAGCCACCCACTTGTCAAAGCTGACCTTGGGCGAGGCTGGGGTGTCAGGGGAATCCAGCCCCTAACACATCATCACGGGTCCGGTAGGCGCAATTGGACAGCGATAATAGGCAAAGATTATAATAAAGTCATAGAGAGCATGAGAGATAGAAGAGAGAGCGAAATATGCTACATTTCATGGTAGCATGCTCACCTCAGCCTCACTTGGTGGTCCACGTGGAGAGAGAGAGAGATTGAATTTTAACCAAGG